CATGAATATTGGCACTGTTTATTTCATGTTTATATGTGAGTTTCTATGCATAAAAATCCCAGTAAGACTGAATGGTTTAGATCAGTCCATTTTTCCCCAACAAAAGAATCCCTAACTTCTAGATTTTAAAAATTGCACTCTTGCTTTTGCGTTTTAGTACAAACAGAACACAAATATATTTCTTTTATATCAGTGCAACCAGTTAATAGACATGTTATTTTTTAAAAAGTAATAAATTTTGTGAATGTTATCATTTAAAAAAATCCTATACAGAATCACAACACTGTCAGAATCTATGTAGTGCACGCACAAGTGCCTCATTATTTTGAATTCACAGTTCTTTTCTCGCAAAAACCTCAAGAGTTCAAAGAATTAATAATACACACCATGTGGATAATTTGGGGTTAAAAAACCCATGGCTCTGGGCAACAATAATTACAGTTAATAACATACACCCACAAAGACTGTTCCTAAAATTTTCAACTTGGTTTGCTATAAATAAAACATTCTGAAATAAAGCCTTCTGCACACTGACAATACTTATCAGACATCAGCGAGGCCACAGTGAAGGGGAGTGACTTACATTAAAAGGACAGGGTAGCAGCTGGTTTTGGGATGGCATACCTCATATATTCTGCTCAGAAAACATGAAGGCATTTACAGAAAACTCAATTATGCACAGACAAATATGGAGGGCTTCTCTGCACTATCAACAGTGATCTCGGTCCCCAGTATTTAAAAAGCAAAAAATATCTTCATAAACACAACTGAAGATGAAGGCTCTATCCAGGAGAATGCATACAACAGGATCAAAGAAGTACTAGTAGTGTGTCGGTGATCTTTTTCCTGGCATTAACTGGCATGAGCATTTTTGGCATGTTGGATATTTAACTATCTCATGTTAACCATGACTACGATTAAGTAAGCCATCTGAATGATAAACAAAGAGTGAAAACACCCCCGGTCCTTAACAGCAGGAAGCATCTAGTTCAACATTCTACACAGAGCAGGTGCTCAAAATGTGCTGGTAACTGATGGACTATCTTACTCAAGGAGCCTGTTAATTATATGTAACACCTACTGAGTGAACCTAATAAATGCTTAAAGACATGACTTACATGTCTAATAAATGTATATGAACATGACTTAAAATAGTTCATATAATTGTTGTACTTCCCTAAAGAAAACTTGTAAACATCTGGTGAGTGTCTAATGGTACAGCATTAAAAACTGGCCAAAAAATGCCCAGAAAACATTTGGCCCTTCAGCACCCGAAGCTCTCAAAATATAATGTTAAACATCTCTGCTACAGGGATTTCAGTAGTCTGAAAAATTTCATACCTGAGTGGCTTAAATGTTCTCTCCTAAATTTTAAGTAAGTGCAAGAAGTTTTACACTCAGGAATTGCATAATTTTTTATCTTTCCTCAACAGAAAACATTGAATGATATAGAGGTAGCGTAACTTACTAAATTAACTTTAAAAAAACAAAAACCCCCCAAAATCAAGGTTATTTTCCATAGTCTTAATAGAGCTATTACAAATGTTTAAAATCTCACAATCGAGGCTTTCTTCTACCTAGTTTTAGATATCTCACTATTCCGACCCCTTCTTTTACTGTGAGAATATTTATGAGTCCAGGCACCCCGTGGCCCAGTGGCATCTACTGCAACATCAATGACAGAATCTGGAGTCATCCATCTCAAGAAAATGAGGAAGAGGAAGTTGAAAACAGCCAACAAAGCAAAGATGTAGCCTGTTACTGGGCCGCAGTGAGAGATAAGTCTGTCCAGTCGTTTGTCCATTGGCAACACAGCTTCCACTGACACCCGGTCATATACCTGGAGGGAGAGAAGCCAAGTGCTTTCACCTATCACCCCATCACCCATCCCATGATAAGCGACGACCGGATCCTGCAGGAACATTTTATAAACAAATGCAAACGAAAGTCGCTTGTGTTTTGTTATTGTTGTTGTCATAGTAGTGATAACCTTAATGAACTTAATCATGATAATTATTGCCATTTGATTCAAAACTGATTGGGTACTTATTCTGGGCAAGACACCAGGCTAGAGGCTGGGTGATACAAAGAATAAGCCACAGTCCCTCTCCCCTAGGGAGTCACCATCAATTTAGCCAACTACTAGAATTCCAAAGTCCTGCAAAGTCTGAACAGCTTTTGGGGTCACCACTGTAGCGTCAATATTTAATTTAGCAGTACTGAAGCTGGACTTGCCTTTGAAGATTCCTTGACTAAGCTGAGATAGGTCTCAACGGCATCTGGGAGACATCAACCATGAGCAGAAAGCTACAATCTAGCATGCTTCTGGGAAAACAGAGGCTGTTCTTTCAACAGCAGCATGAGGCTATACACGTTACTGAGCATGGATGGTGAAGACATACAGAAACATTTCATGGATTTCAAATAAAATAAAATAAAGAGATAGAGGAAATTTCAGTAGATAGTATAGGTCAAACGTTGGCAAATGAAATGACGCTTTTTGCTGAGAACTGGAAGTAGGAGGCTTGCTTTTTAAAACACTG